CTTTCACACCAATATCACCGCCTACACCGTCGCGCTCGTCATAACGTAGATTGCCAACTAGCTGAGCCGAGTCTCTGCTGTATCTCAGTGTCACACTGCATTGCATTCTGGGAATTTGTGTCCAGTGTTTGCACCGACAGCTCTACTACGCCGGATTTCTCATTAATATGATTTCGCACTTGCTCTTTTGTTTTTAGGAGCGAACATGCCAAACCTGACTGTTATCACTTATGTTTGAAATGACTGAATATTTTTTTCACTTCGTAACTGTATATATAACTTTGTGGCCCCTGGTGGTCTAGCGGCTAAGGATCCCACGCTCTCACCGCCACAGCCCGGGCTCAATACCCGGGCAGGGAACCAACCCACCCAGGGAGTGCGCTCTCAGTGTCGGTCCCAAACCCGGATAAAATGGGAGGGTTGCGTCAGGAAGGGCCTCTGACGTAAAAACCTGTGCCAAATCAAACAAGCGGACCAACCAGCCAATAGAACATATATATATATATATATATATATATATATATATATATATATATATATATATATTTTTTCACTTTATAACTATAACAATAATAATGCCCCCCCCGTGACGTCAGAGTGACACACGACCAATAAATTCTCACAGGAATAAAGAAAATATAACACCAACCAACAAACTATCAGCAGACTCATTAAACACCTGACAGATATTTCAATATAAACATATTTAATGTGTTTCAGGTTGGAGTTTCACTTTAATATTGGACTAAATATCCACAATAGTACACTATAGAGGATACACAAGCACTGCAATGCACTTGTATAAGGAGTAAAACAGCTTTTAGGGTTTAACTTTACAAAATTCCTTATATTTCTGTAGTTCTGACAAAGAATTTCAGATTGTTTCTATTATTTAAGTTAGATCATTAATAGTGTAAAGTCTGGGAATTACGTAACATTCATTTAGCTCGCGATCTAAATTTTAATTATTCACAGTTATTCACGCTTTTGTCACTTATATGATTTTAAAAATATATTTTGTATTAATACATTTTTAAATAAATAAGATGTAATTCAAACTCACCTTCAGGTCTCAGTTTTTTCTATGGCGGCCGCCATTTTGGGGTCCTTCACTTCATTTCGCTTCCGCATTACAGCAAGTCCCGCCTCCTGCATGATGATTGGTCAGTACTTCAGCAGGGGACAATTCACAGCTCGCTGATTGGGCAGTTTTCAGAAGTGCTAGCCAATCCTCGAGCAGAAGGCGGGTAGTATACAAAATCTCTTTACGTTTTTTTTTTTTGTTTTGTTTTGTTTTTTTTTTAATTGTTGGTTATGTAAAATAAAATTCATTCATATATTCAATTTAAAGTCCTAAACGCTATCCGTGAAAATGAATTTGACTAGTGAAAAAGTTACTCCAAAAATTTTTTTTGCTTCTATTTTCTGACAGGCAATCGATTCGGGCACACGCGTGTCATTATGGGCTGCTTCTAATTTATACACTGTATGATAAAACTTATACAGCGTTATATTTGGTAAATGTTTAAGATTAGGATTAGAGACAGTACATCCCCCC